TGTTCTTCACAGATTCTATTCTTTCTTTTATCACTCTAAGATCAGTATTTTTTTAAGTTGTGGTATAATGTACCTACCATACAATGTACCATTTTAACCATTTTTGAGCATGCAGCCCAGGGGCATTGAGTACATTCATATTGTCTTTGCAATCAGGACCACTGTATCTCTCCAAGTCCCTGCATTAAATTCTTTTGAATATGTACCTTAAATTGGCATTGCTGGATTATATGGGAATCCTGTAATTTTTGAGGAGCCATCATACTCTCTTTCACAATGGCTGCACCATTTCATATTCCCAGCAGCACTATACATGATTCCAGTTTCTCCCCACGTTGGCCAACAGTTGATGTTTGGTAATAGCCACCCTAATGGTATCCCATGGTTTTGATCTTCATTTCCCTAGTAATTAATGATAATGGAGCATCTTTTCAAGTGCTTATTACCCATTTATATATAATTTTTTGAGAGATATCTATTCAGACCCTTTGCCTACCACTGATTTGGGTTATTTTTTCATTGTTGAGTTTGAGAGTTTTTATGTATTCTAGATATTAATCCCTTACCAGATATGATTTACAAATCTTTTCTCCCACTCTGTGGATTGTCTTTTTACTCTGTTGTTAGTGCTCTTTGATGTGCAAGTTTTTAACTTTGACGAAGTCCAATTTGTCTCGATTTGTTGTTGTTGTTGTTGTTGTTGTTGTTATTGCCTGTGCTTTTGGTGTCATATCCAAGATACAATTGCCAAATCCAATGTTGGGAGGCTTTTCCCATATGATTTCTTCAGAGTTTTCTGATCTTAGCTCTTATGTTTAGGTCTTTAATCCAGTTTGATTCAATCTTTCCATATGATGTAAAGATCTATATTTTAAGTCCCTTTTATTTTTTTTATTTTTTATTTTTTTCTCTAGCTTACTTTATTTTTTTTTTTTACAAATAGTTTATTGTCAAATTAGTTTCCACATAACACCCAGTGCTCATCCCTACAAGTGCCCTTTTTAGATTGCAGTGCAACCTGTCCTTCCTCAGGTGTGTCTGTCATTTAGCACAGGCTCTAGAGCCAGAGCATGGGGGTGTGAGTCCCACCTCCATTATTTGCTAGCTATGTGACTCTGAGCAAGTTCCTCAACCTCTCTGTGCCTCTGTTTCCTAATCTATAATGTGGATGTATTGATCACAGTACTTACCTCATGCATTTTTTTGTGATGATTCATATACCAAAAGCTCTCAGTGGGTCCCTAGCACCTGGAAAGTGCTCAGAAAGGACTGGTGATCATTACTGATCTTCATGGCACTGCACTCTCTTTTGCAGTTGGTAATCTTGACCTATGAGCCATTTTCAGTGGAAACATTCTTCTGCAGGGTCCCATGCACACACCATGTACATGTGTTGTGAAGATGTCTCCAGGGAGTCAGTTTCATGGACACTTCTTGCAGTGCCTCCTCAGAAAGGAAGCCATCTGTCAGCTCCCAGCTTGTTGAAGTCATTTCTTCCACTGTGATCAGCTGTCTCCATGCAGGCAGTAATGCTGCAGCCCTCTGGGCATGGATGCACTCTGATTTTCCACATGGCCCCCACTCACTGCTGCATGAGCCCTCTTTGTCTCCTCAGCATCTGAAGAGTTCCCTTTCTTGTGCTCCATCTCAGCTCTGTATTTTACATTTTTTTTTCTTTCATAGTTTATTGTCAAGTTGGTTTCCATGTAACACCTAGTGCTCATCCCAACAAGTGCCTTCCTCCATGCCCTTCACCCCCCTTCCTGTCTCCCCCACCCTCATCAGCCCTCAGTTTGTTCTCAGTATTCAAGAGTCTCTCATGGTTTGCCTTCCTCCCTCTCCTCAGCTGTGTTTTACATTTTAAAAAGCATAATTTTTTAAACCCAAATAGCCAAAGCAATCTTGAGAAAGAAGAATAAAGCTAGAGACATCACACTTCCAGTTTTCAAACTATCTTACAAAACCATAGTAATCAAAACAGTATGGTATCAGCATAAAAATGGCCACATAAATCAATGGAACAGAATAGAGAGCACAAAAATAAGCCTACCCATATATGGTCAGTATATTTAAGACAAACCAAGAATATATATAAGGGGGAAAGGATAGTTTCTTCAATAAATGGTGCTGGGGAAGCTGGGCAGGTACATGCAAAAGAATGAAACTGGACCCCTGCCTTACATCATACAAAACAATCAATTGAAAATGCATTAAAGGCTTGAATATAGGCCAGAAAGCATAGAACTCCTAGAAGAAAATGTAGATTGTGAGCTCCTAAACATTGGTCTTGGCAATGATTTTTATTTGATTTGACATCAAAAACAAAGGCAACAAAAGTAAAAACCAACAGGTGGGAACTACATCAAACTAAAAAGTTCTTACACAGCAAAGGCAATCATCAACAAAATGAAAAAGCAACCTACAGAATGAGAGAAAATATTGTAAATTATATATTTGATAAATTAATATCCAAAATATATAAAGAGCTCGTACAACTCAAACAATCCAACTAAAAAATGAGCAGAGGAACTGGATAGAAATTTTTCCAAAGAAGACATACAGATGACCAACAGTCACATGAAATGGTGCTCAACATCTCTAATCATCAGGGAAATGCAAATAAAACCACAATTAGATATCACCTCATGCCTAGTAGAATGGCTGTTATCAAAAAGACAAGAAATACCAAGTGTTGGCAAGGATGTGGAGAAAAGGGAAAACTTGTGCACTGTTGGTGGAAATGTAAATCGACAGCCACTAAAGAAAACAGTATGGAGCTTCCTCAAAAAGTTAAAAATAAGGGCACCTGGGTGGCTCAGTCAGTTGGGTGTTTGACTTCACTCAGATCATGATCTTACAGATCGTGAGTTCAAGTCCTGCGTCAGGCTCTGTGCTAACAGCTCTGAGCCTGGAGCCTGCTTCAGATTCCGTGTCTCTCTCTCTCTCTCTGCCCTTCCCCCACCCATGCTCTGTCTCTCTCTCTCTCCAAAAATAAACATTAAATTTTTTTGAAAAAAAACGCTAAAAATAGAACTACGATATGATCAGCAATTTCACTTCTGGGTATTTATACAAAGAAAATGAAATCACTGTCTTAAAAAGCTATCTGCACCTTCATGTTCATTGCAACATAATTTACAATAGCCAAGACATGGAAAGAACCTATGTGTCCAATGACAGGTGAATGGATAATGAAAACGTGGTATACACACACACACACACACACACACACACACACACACACACACACAAACTGAGCTCATAGATATAGGGAACAGATTGATGGTTGCCAGAAGTAGGGGGTAGGAGGGTGGGGTAAATGGGTGAAGGTGGGCAAAAGTCATGAACCTCTGGTTTATGCCTGGGTGGCTCAGTCGATTAAGCGTCCAACCCCTGATTTCAGCTCAGGTCATGATCTCACAATCCGTCTGTCAGTCATGCGATTGAGCTCAGAGTTGGTTCCACCCTGGACATGGAAGTTGCTTAAGATTCCCTCTCTGCCTCTCCCTCTATCCTTTTCCCACTCGCACACATGTGCTTGCTCTCTCTTTCTCTCTCTCTCTCTCAGGAAAAAAGCCCAGGTCTTCCCTTCCCTGATTGTTCATGCTCTCTCTCTCCTTCTCTCAAAAAAAGAGAAAAAAGACCTGGGGATGCGATGTACAGCTTGATCACTACAGTTAACAACAAAATACTGTATTTTATCAAGCATGTCCATATGCTTGAAGCAGGAGAACTCACTTGGCCAGCTTACCCAAAAGTGTCATTGATCTTTTTCTTTCTTTGTGTTTTAAATAATTTTGATCATAACATCATCTTTGGAGGATTGTTTGGCCAGTGTCTCTGGTAATGGTGTCAGCTCATGTGAAGAGATGAAGTATCTGTGAGGCTGTGGGTGCACCTGGGCTGAGCAGAGTGAGTGAAAGGACTGTAGGGTGGAGGCAGTGCGAGTGTGGAGGAACAGGAGTCTGAGGAAGAAGTCCCAAAGTGAGGCAGGTGGGCCGGCTTCCCCCAGACTATATGTGTCAGGCTACTGGGGAGTCACCAAAGGCTAGCAGAGAACTGGGGTCCTGCTAGCTGATGCTTCAACCAGGCTCAGGTACTCAGGGACATGAACCCTGAGTGGAAGCTACCAGCCACACATTCCCACAGCCCTCACAGCCCTCTGCCTTCTGTGCTTCCTCCTGACTACAAACTCATAGCATCAAGCTATCCCTGGGAAAACAGATATAAGGACAAGGTGAATGGAGGAAGGGTTCTACACACCCCTAGAAATGATTACACATCCCATCAGAGAGAAAAAGGCCAGGGGGGCTTGGTTAAGCATCCGACTCTTGGTTTTGGCTCAGGTCATGATCTCAGGGTTTGTGAGTTTGAGCCCCACATCAGGCTCTGCACTGACATTGCAGAGCCTCCTTGGGATTGTCTCTCTCTCCCTCTCTTTGCCCCTCCCCTGCTCATTATGTCTCTATTTCTCTCAAATATATAAAATAATACAAAGACAAAAAAGAGAGAGAGAGAAAGACCAAAAATGAGAACATAGGAAGTCAAGTCAGAAGAACAAGGAGAGACAACTGTGTTTCAAGAGTCCAGAGGCCCAGAGATGTCATTTTCATACATCTGTCCATCCACTCATCCATCCATCCACCATCCCACCCACCTTCTCAGAAGTGATGCCAGTCTTGGGAGGGAAAGGGTCTCATCAATCCCTGGCCAAGGTCAGAGGGTGGTTCTAATGCCAAGGAAAAGTGACCAAGTAGACTAGACAAGCTCTGGTGCCCTTGCTCTTTTTACTCTGCCGCTAACTAGCTGTGTGAACCACGATGTCACATGGCTTGACCTTAGTCTCCTCACCTGTAAAATGGAAACAATTGGATCAGAAGGTGGGTGGGGGCTTTCTAGTTCTAACATTCCACGGCTGACCCTTCAGCCCCTGATGTCACAATATGGAGCTGGACCATGATTGGCCCATAACCTCATCCAGCTCTGCTGTTCTCTCGGTCATGGGCACAAGAGGGACTTGCCATGGACCTCCCCTATTTGTGCTCCTCTGTTATGGACAGCTCTTGCCATGGCTCAGGACCGAGGGTGATCAGAACTTAGGTGAGGCTAGGACCTGAAGAAGCATGGGAGCAGACAAGGGGACCAGTCAGTGCAGGCCCTTCCCAGGACAATATGATGCCCACCTCCTTCTCCGCAGACAAGTTCTACAATGAGACCATAGCAAAGGCGTTCCTACAGTTTTATGAGCATACCGCCCAGGCTGTGTGGAACCAGTTCATGGAGGCCACCTGGAACTATGTCACCAACATCACCAAGAAAAATCAGGAGGAGATGGTGTGGTATCGCCTCAACCCCAGCTCCTCCTTCCCTTGCTCTTCTCAGGGATCTCGGGGGGAGGGGGAGGGGAAACCACACCTTCTGTCCCCTGTCCAGAGCTAGCGGAAAGAGGGAATTCCTAAAGTATATGTCAAAGCAGGCTGCAAGCACTGGGCCAATTGGTGGCCCAAGAAAGCTCTCTGGGCAAGAATCTCTTGTTTCTTTCCCCCTTGTAAATATCACCTCCTTGCTTTTAAGGACCCAGGCTCCTTCCTTTCTCCCTCTTAGCAGCTCTTCAGTGATTCAGTGATTAAAGTGGGTTGCAGGAGGAGGTTGGGGGGCTGTGACTCTTGCTCCCTCCACCAACTTTCCCAAGACAAATATGGTGACCCTCATTCCAGCTGCACAAAGACTCAGAGAGGTCCAAGCACATGCTGTACTTTGGCACCCGGGCTCGCCTGTTTAAGATCTCCAGGTTCCAGGATCCAGCCGTGAAGCGTATGCTGAGTAAGCTGCAGAACATAGACAAGGCGGCCCTGCCCCAGGACAAGCTCCGGGAGGTGATGGATGGAGCCCCCACGTCTCCAGGCATATGCTCCCCACCCCAGGGGTGGGTGGGCTAGCCGGGTGGGAAGCCAGAGCATCTGGGCAGGAGGGAGGTTGTCAGGAAGAACCAGAACTTCCTCTGGGGGAGGAGGGAAGCAGAGGCTGGAGGGAAGATGCCTCAGACAGGCCAGGCCCTCCCAGCTGGAGGGGCTAGCACTGGGGGTGGGTGACACCCCCAGGTGACACCTGCCCCCCCCAGTACAACAAGCTTCTGGCCTACATGGAGACTACATACAGCATGGCCCAGGTGTGCCTGAATGAGGGACCCTGCCTAGCCCTGGAGCCTGGTGAGCACCCAAGTCCTGCCCCCATCCAACCCCAGAGTCTAGCATCAGACACTTCCACAAGCATACCCTGACTCCCCATTGTCCTCCCTGCCCCAGTTGTACTCACTTGTTGGGGAGAGGAGGGTCTGCCTAAGGCAGGTGAGGGCAGAGGGCAGGCAGGAGTTGGGGGCTGGGCATCCCACCTTGGCTCCTTTTCTGGGCATAGACCTCCAAGAAGTCATGGCCACCTCCCGGGACCAGAAGGAGCTGCTGTGGGCCTGGCAGGGCTGGCGGGATGCTGTGGGTCGTCAGCTCCGCAACATCTTCGAGCGCTATGTGCAGCTCAGCAACAAGGCTGCAAACCTCAATGGTGAGGCCCCCAACCCCTCACCTGGCCAGCCCAGCCCGTGCAGATGGCACAATGCACAGGTCCCAGGGCAGTGCCTGCAAAGAGCAAAGCAGAGTCTGTAGAGGGTAAAGGCAATAGTAGGACCTGGAGATGGGGACCCTGAGCCTCGCAGCTGGGGGAAGCAAAGGCGGCTCATTCACCAGTGGTCCACAAACATTGCTTGAGCACCTATCGTATGACAGGTCCTGGAGAAGCTCTAAGGATGTGTAGGTGAAAAGACAGAGAAGGAGCCTGCCATCCTAGGTAGGGCTTATGGTCTGGGAGACAGACAAGATTTGTGCAAATGCACATCTTGGGATGTGTGCTCAGAGAGAAGAGGAGGCTTGGAGACACTTCCCCAAGGCCTGAAAGAAGGCAAGCAAGAGGTGAAAGAGACTCCCGGGCACAACAGTGGGACAAACCAGTGTTTCAGAGGATCTGGAAGGAGCCAGGGTGACCTAAGGGTTTGGACAGGTGGGGCTCAAGGTGGGTGTGAAGACCAGGGCCTTATCCAGGCCCTATCCAACCAGGCATGGTGAGGAGTATGGAGTGTGTATTGTGTTAAATGCTTTTCCACCCCTGATCTTATCCAATCTGAACAATGACCTTGGGAGGCACATTTCCCATTAGGCAGATGAAGACCCTGAGGACCAGTGAGGCCAAGTGGCTTCCCCAGAAAGTGTCTGGGTCTTCTGCCTGCCAGGCCAGGGCTGAATGAAGGGTGGGTGGTGAGTGCCTCTGAGCCCCCTCTCCTGTCCTAGGTTACAAAGACATGCGGGCCTTGTGGCGGTCCAAGTATGAGAGTGCCACCCTGGAACATGACCTGGAGCAGCTTTACTGGGAGATGCAGCCACTCTACCTGAACCTGCATGCCTACGTGCGCCGGGCCCTGCACCACTACTACGGGCCAGAGCTTATTGACCCACGGGGGCCCATCCCTGCCCACCTCTTGGGTAAAGCCCTGGCTGGTAGTAGAGTGGGGTGGGCAGAGTAGGCCTCCAAGATGGCACTCGATAAAGGGAGGGATGATGTCCTGCCTCCTCTGAGCCCCTCTTCTTCTTCCAGGGAACATGTGGGCTCAGTCCTGGGTCAACATCTTAGACCTGGTCCTGCCTTTCCCAAAGAAGCCCCCTGAGGACATCACAAAGATCATGAAAAGCCAGGTCAGTGCTTGGCGTCCATCTGCCCTTGCCAGCTCTACACCACCAGGCAAGGCCCCACAAACCCCTCTTCCCCACAGCACTGGAAGCCCTTGAAAATGTTCGAAGAGGCGGAAAAATTCTTCACCTCCCTGGGGATGCTCTCCACCCCTCCCAACTTCTGGAGAACCTCAATGATGGAAAGGCCAACCGATGGGCATGAGGTGGAGTGCCATGCCTCTGCCTGGGACTTCTACAACGGCAAGGACTTCAGGTCTCATGGGACACCAGCACCGCCCTTCTGCCCCTCTCTCACTCTTCCTCCACTGCTTCCACTCTCCACCTGTCTGCCTGGTGTGCAAGGAGTAGGCGTGCAAGGAGTAGGCAGGACTGGAGCCAAGCAGTGGAGGGGGATGTGACCTGGCAACATGAGTTAGAGGGACCCCTGGAGTGAGAAAGGACAGTACCCAAGACCCTGCTGGTCTCCAGCCCATCTGCCCCAATCCCTTAATGGAGTCTGAATGGAGAAATCTCCCCTTTTCCAAGGGCCTCCCCATGCTCCTTGACCCCTGCCCTTTCACCCAAGGATAAAGAAGTGCACCGAGGTGACCATAGAAGACCTGCTCTCCATCTTCCACCAGATGGGCCATATCCAGTACTTCTTACAGTACAAGAACCTCTCTGTGATCTTCCGCGCAGGCGCCAACCCAGCCTTTGAAGAGGCCGTGGGGTCGATGGTCACCCTCTCGGCCTCCTCCCACAAGCACCTGCTCAGCAGAGGCCTGCTCAGCCACCAGCACCAGGACTCAGGTGATGGGAGCCAAGAGGACCATAGTGGGGCAGCTGAGCCTGAGGATGCAGCCAGGCCTCTCTGGGCAAGGCTGAAAGGAGGGAGAACCAGGAGCCACCAACTGACGGCTTCACCTTCCCCAGAGGAGGAGGTCAGTTTCCTGATGGGCATCGCCCTGGAAAAGGTCGCCCTCATCCCCTTCGCCTACCTGATGGACCAGTTTCTCTGGAAAGTCTTTGATGGCACCGTCCAGAAGAATGTCTACAACCAGGAGTGGTGGAACCTCAGGTGGGGAGGACAGCTGCCCTAGGCTCTCGGCCCCCTCCCATCCTTGCTGTGGGTGGGGCTTTCCAGTCAGCCTTAAGGGCACCGCCCATTGCCAGCAGGTGCTGCTGCCTCTTCTCGGAGGGCAGAACTAGGTGTGCCACACTGGTGACTGGGAGGCCCTGGGGAGACCCTGGGGTGGTATTGGCTGTTTGCTATCACCTAATAAAAGCACCCTTACTGAAGTGGATAGGGCCAGCACCTGCACTTATGAGACCTCACGTTGAATCCGGCACCAGCACTGGGTCTCTAGGGACCCTGGCAGTGACCCTGCCTGCTCCCGGGTAGCTGGGAAGATCACACAAGGGTGCGCCTGGGCTCCTCCAAGAGCAAAACATTGACCACCAGGCAGGCCCACCTCCTTCTCCTCTCCCTTCCTATTCCCACCAGTAGGGCTGGCAGAAGAGTGTTTGGTGGCCTAAGCTCTTTCCCCTCCATGGAAAGAACCCCTATGGGAGAGAGGCAAGCCCACTGCCCCCTTTCCTGTTGCTCTAAGACACTCTCACAACTGTCTCTGGTTTAGCATCGGCATGTCCAAGGCCGGAATTGGGTGCCAAAAGAGCCCAACAGCAGTCAGGCAGCACCACTCTTGAGGGAGGGGCATCCATGTCACATCCTATCACCAACTACTGGCTGTCTGATTGGATAATGAACACCCATGGCCAGGCTTCTCCATCTCCACCAGGCCTCAGACTGACCTGCTTGAGTCTGCTGGCCACAGCATAGTTTGGGGTGACCAGAAAGGGGGCTGCCAGCTCTATACCAGGCCCCTCATGTTTCTTTGAACTTGTACAACATTCCCATGGTCATTCGCTGAAGAAGAATGTGTGACCAGCCCATGGTCACACAGCAACCCAGGGGTCGCAAAGTTGGGTGCCTCTCTCTTTATCTACTCACCCTCACACCTCCATCCCAAATTCAGTCCCAGGCCACACTCGTGGAGTTGGCAGAGTCTTGACCTTGTACTTCTCCAAGGGCAACCCCCATGAGCCATCTGAGGTGCCTGCAGGGGCCCTTTTCCTCCCTGGGTCAACTGTACCTACAAGTACCTATGATGGAAACCAAGGGTAAAGGGAGAGAGGTGACAACTTCCTAGCCCTGGAAAAGGAAGCCTCTGTCGACTGGGAGAGGAACCTCCCGACTCTGTCACCCCCAGAGGATGGCTCATGGGCAACCACTGAGCCACCGATGAAACGATGAGAACTTTTCATAGGCTTTGTCTCATCCCACAGATGGATCATTTTATGCCCATCTTACAGCCAACAAGATTCAGTGACAATCAGTAACTCCCACAGTCGCTCAGCTCAGAGGAGCAAGGCCAGATCTGAATTTGAAAGTTAATGGAATCTGCCAGTGACTAGTTCTGTGACCTCTCACCAGTTCCCTGACCTCTAAACTTTGGTCCCCTCATGTAAAATGTGAATAATAGCAGAACTACATTGCAGAGATGCTATTCTGTTTTCTTCTTGGCACTTCTTACCAGATGAAATGACTTTGTTGTTCTATAACCATCCCCCATCATTAGGATTCAAGCAAGACCTTGAGTAGCCCGTTCCCTCCTGTGTCTTCATAACCAGGACAGTGTTGAGTGAGTCTCTGTGAAGATCTTAGCGTGGTTCCTAGCGCAGAGGAAGTCAGTGTTAACTATTGTTATTATTTGATTCTGATTCCCAATCCCTTGTGTTTTCACCTCATTTATGTAATCTATAAAAATGCAGTAAGTGTCCTGTGCCCACCGGTTTTGATAGCTGTGCACGTGCTTCCAAAGGAAAAGGCTCTGAGAACCCAACTGGGTGGTACCAGCTCCCTGTTCTCCCCAACAGGTTGAAGTACCAGGGCCTGTGCCCCCCCATTCCTCGGACAGAGGATGACTTTGATCCTGGCGCCAAGTTCCACATCTCTGCCAGTGTGCCCTACATATGGTAATGGTCTGGGCCCTGCCAGGAGAACCAGCTACAGGACTTGGGAGCTGGGGACATGGGACCTAGGCTGAAGATTTCCAGCAAGGCCCTAGAACCAAAAGTTCCCCTGCCCCCCTGCCCACCTCCTCCACTGGGTTGCGCAGCCTCTTGGGGGCCACGCCCTGCACTCCTTTGGGCTTTCAGAGCAGATCCCGTGTGAGGGCAGAGCTGATGGGAATATTCCAAAGCATCTCCGCTGTCCCCAAGAGGAGGGCAGGAAAGGAGGCAAGGGTTGGTTCAGAAGGCTAAGAAGGGTATATTCCAGGGCCAGTCCAAGGTGAGACCTTGGCAAAGGAGCTTCCACCCAGCAAGGCTGGGCCCTGATCAGGCTCTTGGACCACTGTGCATTAGAGCTGCCAGGCTCCAAACGGCTCTGGGCTTCCCATTTCTGACACCAGCTCCCCAGCCTGCCCTCCCATCCTTCTCCCCAGGTACTTCATCAGCCTAGTGCTCCAGTTCTAGTTCCATGAGGCTCTGTGCAAGGCCTCGGGCCACGTGGGCCCGCTGCACCGGTGTGACATCTATAACTCCAAGATAGCTGGGAAGCTCCTGGAGTGAGTGCTCACCTCCCTCACAAAGCCCCCTGATTTGTTCTCAGCTCCCCCGCCCCTCGCTGGAAGCCTGCCCATGGGCCCCTCTCCTCAACAGACCACCCTGGCCACCCTGAGCAGAGCCTCACTGACCTTCTAGTTCAATGGAAGTTCTTCCTCATGTTAGACTCCAGTCTCTCCTATAGAAATCGAAACCCATTTCCTTGTGTGCAGCCCCTCCTGGTCAGAGAGACTATTTAGCCCCTCCTGCTCACACATACACACACACACAAACACACACGCTTGCACACACTCCCTCACCCACATGTGCACCTGCGCACACATGCACACATGCACACTCACACACGCCAATAAATCAAACTGTCTCAGATAGGAAACCAGTCATGCCTCAACCTTCAGTCCTCCATCCGAATGCCCTTATCCTTCTACACAAGGTGCTCGTGGATCTTCAGCAGCATTTGATACACTCTGGGTGCACTCTGCTTTTCCCACTTCTTCTTGGAGGTGCCTGGATCTGACTCCCAGACTGATCCAGGTTGCTTTCACACCAACCTTTGTGATGCTCTGGTCAGCCTGTGGTCCACTTTGACTCCCTAGCCCCAATCTTTTTTGCTGCATTGGTTTCCAGCCCATGTTTTCCATTCCCGCCTCTGTGGAGTTGGTTTTGGTCCTGAAGCAAACCTGGAGGGGTGGGACGCTGACCTGATGGTGGGAAGTATTGACTAGTACAGGCTGGGCTCTCTGAGGAGTGCCCTTACAAGGTTTCACATCAGCGGCTCATAACTTGCAAAGTGGACATGATTAGTCATATTACACAAATAATGAAATTCAAGCTAAGAGAGATTGTTATTGCATGTCACTCATCTAGCAAGTGGCAAAATCCTGCTTTGAGTGCTGAACTGACTCTAGAGCATGTTATCATTCACACTGCTGCTTCTACCAATCAAGAGATACAGGTCTGGTGAGGTTAGACTTAGGTCTCCTGGTTCCAAGATCAGTGCTTCCACCACTTAGATGCAGAACCCACCCACTGATATGGTCTTTTTCCCAACAATTTTCTACCCATTTTAGTGGGTCCATTTCTCCAATTGATCAAGGTCATCTCAAATTTTATTCCTGTCTCCCAGAGGAATAACATAGCCACATAATTTAGTCTCCTTTGCAAATTTAATGAGCATATTTGTGATTCCACCGAGCAGTTTGTCAGTAACCACTAGGCCAGATGGAGTTGCAGTACTGATCCCCTGGCTTGGCTCCCAGGGAGGGCTGCACCTTCCATGCCGATTATCAACCTAGTCTGTTTGCTTTTCCATCTTTTCACACTACAGGGGTTTATTGTAGCCGACTGCCCATGTTTGAGCTTTTCTGAATGCGTGGAACATAAGAGCCCTCTCTGCTCTCTGCATTCATGTCTCTAGCTGCCCACCATTTAGTCACTCATCAAGCATTTACTTATGCCTATGCCAACCAGCCTAGGCAATGGGCCACAGGATAAACCAATAACCATAACACAGGAAAGGAGATTGTGCAGTAGGAGAGGGCTTTGGTGAACATGCAAACATGCAAAAAGGGTGAGGAGGTCATGCTCGAGGACCAAGGATGGACCTCTGTCCCCAAAAGCAGGAGTGCAAGAAATAGCAGACATTGTTTTCCACACATCAACTCACTTTTAACTCTGAGCCTTCATTCCATTTAATTGGTGGGAAATTTGATATCATTCTCCCCATCACCTCCTCCCCACTCAGGGCACACAAAGCTCCCAGGATCTGACTTGGCACCAAAGCATGTAGAGCCCTGCCAATCATCATTGCTCACCTGTCCTCACACATCACTACCCAGACATCCCCTGGCCTGGGAAGACCCTAAGTTCCAGGTTTAGAACTTTGAGTGCTATCTTCTGGGGAGACGGTAGAGGAGAGGGCTCTGAGAAAGGGGGATGTCATGAACTCTGGGGATTTGAGAGAGCAGCAGAGTGGAATATAGGTTGTGTGTGTGGGGTGAGTGTTTGCAGAGAAGGGGGAGGACAAGATTCTTGGCTGCTCTTTTACCTAATATATCTTAGAACTTGACTCATCTTCCTATATGTGATTGCTCTGGGTTGGTTCTGCTGGGAATGGAGAGTTGTAGTGGACTTGGTCCAAGTTCCCAAAGCTCTTGGTTCATCTGGCCAACCGTGATAGGCCTGACCTTGTCCGTGGGACTCATTGCTGTGACCTTGAAGTTGAGGGCATCAGGAAGTGCCCATCTGCTACTTTTGCAAGTCTCATGTGCTGGCCACATTGGCCGTGAGCTGGGCTTTGGTCCAATCTCTTGCCCCACAGAGCCTGAAGGACTATTTCTAAATGGGTAGATTTTCAGTGGTCCAAAGTTTCCCCCCCATCAAGTCCCTTCTTTTTCCCAGGACCCAGCATCTGATAAAAATCTTCTTACCTAAAGTTAGTTGTGGGATTTTGTTTTGTTTTGTTTTGTTTTGTTTTTCTTTTAATCTTGATGACTTTCCTCCTGCATTTCTCTAGGATCTTAAACTACACCCTCCCCCCCCCCAAAAAAAAGCCACACAGACACAGGTTTCTGTCAAGGGTCTACTAAACTTCAGTTTCCCTGCATTCTTTCTCAGTTGTTTATGAAGTGATGTGTATAAGTCTTTGCATGCTACAAAGCTCTCTTCCGCTGCCTTTATGTGACTTAATCCTTACCACAGTGAAGGGCAGATATTTTACTGATGAAGAAACAGAGGCTAAGAGTGGTTGAGTTAATTGCCTAAGGTCATGCAGCCTATAAGTAGCACTGCTGAGTCTTGAACCTGATCCTTGTTAGTCTAGACTCCACAGCCTGACTTATGGGCTTCTAGACCTCATTTTTCTCATGGCCAGCTGGGGACACAGGTTAAAAAGGTTCAATATATGACTACCACTGCCTCCACAGGGGCCCTGGGGTGGAGAAGTCCAGAGCTCTGGCTTCACACACCCTGTACCACACCCCCACTCCATGAGTATGAAGGCCAAACCGAAGGCTGCTCCCCCTGACACCAAGCACTGTGTGTGCTTTGAGACACAGATGACATTTGTGCAGTGCTGCAGGCAGGACACAGAGCACATCCCACACTCTTGATCTCCCTAATCCTCCCAAACACTCCTTGTGAAATCAGAAAGGGCTGAAGAGCTGCCTCTCCCTACTGACACTGAGCACCTCATGGGAAACAGTGCCTCAAGACTTTATGCCTATTTGAGTCCAGGAGAATAATAATTATCACAGTAGTGGTAGTAATAATTAACTATAATAATAATAATAATAATAATAATAAGCTGTTACCATGTATTGCTTGTCTACTATGCCTCCAGCATTGTGTTTATTTAATCATCATACCAACCCTAGGAGGTATATATTGTTATTATCTCCATTTTATGAATATGGAAACTGAGACTCAGAAAGGTTATGTTACTTGTCCAAAGTCCCACAGGATTCAAACCCAGGTTTTTCTTATTTCAGAGCTTGTGATTTTATCCACTGAGCTGAGCTCTATGGGAAGTCTGGCTAGCAAAGCCCCATGGCCAGAGTTGGGCACACTGAGGGGTCCCAGCAGCACCAGCTGATGCCCCTACACAGCCTCACAGCTGTATCTACTCTCCCAGGGATGCCCTAAGGCTGGGCTCAAGCAAGCCCTGGCCAGAAGTCCTGCAGAAGATAACCGGGCAGACCGAAGTGTCTGCAAAGGCCCTCATGACCTACTTCAAGCCCCTCTTGAACTGGCTGGTCACCGAGAATGTGCAGCAGGGGGAGATCCTGGGCTGGCCAGACTTCAGCTGTACCTTTGAAGGTTTGATAATCTGACCCTGGTGCCACCTCTGGTCCATCCCCAGCACTACCCTAGCCTGCCCTGGGCCAGTCTCTACCCCAATCTAGACTTAACCCCTAGCCTATCTATGACCTGGCTTGAACAAGTACAGCATTGTTGCTGCATGATCCTGTCTGCACCTGATGCAGCTTTGGCAAAGACCACAGCCCCATGCCCCAGCCACTGGTTCAGTTGCTTCTCTGCACACTGTTCAGCTAGACTGCCAGGTAGGCATCTGAGCACAGGGTGGACTTCTTTCCTCCCAACCCTTGCACAGAGCCACCACTGGGCACCATGGGGACATAGCCCTATCTGTACCCATCTTCTCCTTCTCTCCCTTCTACTACTCCTTCTTACCCTCCTTCTAGGGCAATGCCCTTACCTATGGCTTGGAAGGTAGATGCCTGAGGCTGAGGAAGGAGGCCAGTGGCAGTCAGATGCTCTGATTTCCATAGGGCACCCCAGGGCTCCCTCCCCCATTCTACCTGCTCTACGAGATTCCCATGTCTTCCACAGAAAAAGACACAGACAAGGTGACATTTCTGAGTCTGGAGCTGGATGCTGACCAGGCCAAATTTGGGCAGTGGGTGCTGCTGGCCCTCAGCTTTGTCATGTTCCTGGTGGCCCTACTTCTGGCCTGCAGGCTGTACTCCCTGGAAAAAAGGTCACTGTCCCAGAACACCAAGGCACAGAACACCAGTTTGCCAGACTCCAGTGCACAGCCCAAGTCCTACTTCCTGGGCATAGCCATGGAGCCCCGCCTAGTTGCCAAAAGACAGTGGATCCTGCTGGGCCTCTGCCTCTTCCTGATGCTGTGCTCAGTCAGCCTGATAATTCAAATTTTCACACAGCACAACAAGAAGCCTCCGTGGATGAGAGCTGAATGGTGGAGCTGGGACTAGACACCAGTATGACTGGTGAGGCTGGAGGGCAAGACGAGGGTGGCCAAGGCAGAGAGCACTGGGGGACTAGGGAGGGGACAGCTTGCATGCATAGTGTCCAACTGCAATTGGGTGCAACTGTGGCAGACCTGGGTATGTGGAGGTTTGTAATTGTGTGTATGGAACCCATGTATGTGAAGCCATGTGTACAGGCTAGTGACTCTGTGTGATTCCATGTATGCCCTGGGTTCCAAACCAACCTCCTTCCCCTAGAGGCTCAGGAACCATGGTTTTCGTGACCCAGTGACTGTGTCCCTCCAATTCAGCTGCCACCCCGAACTGTGTTCTTTGCACAGCCTTATTTTCTTCAGGAGCCCAACTGTGGGGCTGGGCCAGGACTGCAGTGCCCAAGGAATGTCCTCTCTGGCTAGAAACAGGACACTGCTTCAGTCCCCTTATAAAATGTATTCAAGTAAAACTGGACATTCTGTACAAATCACTGGTGCCTGGTTCATGAGCACTGTGCTCTGTACACTATATCCAGCATATCTTTCTGCTGATCCTCTGGCCTACCCTGTGTTGGGCTGCATAATCCAGCCCCAAAAGCTGCTTGTCAGCTGCCTGAGATGCAAACTGCCCCACGGCCCTCCCTGCCCCAGTCCAGGCCCTCCCAAATGGAGACAGTGGGTAGCTGGGCACCAAGCCAGGGTTGATTAATGATTGATTTCTTTAATATTTAAACAAAGCTCATCTCCAGCCACTCCGCTCCGGAGATGGCCTTGTTCAACACACACACCTGCTGCCTGGCCTGTTGCCCTGGGGACGGAGCACAGGGCAAATAGCACCTTTCCAGGCTCAGTGGGGGAGGGGAAAATGGGATGGAGAAGGCTATAGGAAGACATTTGGGAAATGTATACTCTAGGGACAAGTTTGGGACAAGCTTGAGAAGAGAGACAGAGGCCACTGCTCCTTTCTCTTCTAGTCCTTCTTTCCACCCTCGGTCTACCCACCACAGGGATGCCACATCCAATATATGCTACATCCAATATAACACAGTACAACTGCATTTGAACTGAGCCCCAAGGGGTTCATGGAGAGGCTAAACATCAGTGCCTGTCAGCGATTAGGGGAGCCTTGAGGAAGGTAGCATCATAGCCAGTAACCACAGAGAGGAGACCCTAGGGCTACAGTTGAGTTGGTGAGAGGGTGGCCAAGAGACAAGACTGGCTCTCCCTAGATTAAGGATCTGAGCCCAGAAGTCCAGGTTCAGGGGGAAAGAGAGGCTGGGCTGAGATTTCCACGGACCCAATCTTTGCCCAGGTTTCAAGAAATCTTCTTGAGTTCTGGCTGAGCCCAGAACTGCTATAGATCCAGGCTCCACAGCACTCTTGTTTGATGCCTCTGTCACTGCTATTACTTTGCTGTGCTGTGATGTCCTTATTTGTTCCCATTATTAGCTGTTAGCTCTGTAAGGACAAGACACCCATCAGGAGTGGGCCCCTGCATAACATGTTTAGATGGCACAGGCTATGGAACATAGTGGAGACTTGGAAACTGTTTAAATGAGAAAGTGAATGAATGAGTATCCTACTGCCTCAGTCCTTCCTCAGAGCTCAGCATCCTGCTCTGAGCTCATGAGAAACAGCCTCACCTTTCCTCCACAGCCAGCCTGCGCCCCCCCACACAAGGGGCAGCCAGGACAACTCTGCCCCACTAGGAGGCTACACTTGCAGCCCTCCCATTCCCCAGCCACAGTGGCCAACCAGGCCCCCATCAGGCATTGTGGCTCTGCGTGGCAAAGGCACACCCAGCCCAGGACTCCAAGCCTCTCATCTGGACTCCAGCAAAAACCTCACTGAGCTTCCTTGCCCATCCTCTCTTCCCCACCCGCCATTGTAAAGTTTCTTTCACTGGAATATTTCCTTCATGTCTAACTGCTCAAGAACTTGGTTGTTCATCAATTAAATCTAGATGTTCAAAATGGCATCAGAGGGTCTTTATCAATTCCCTTTTTGTCCAAACTTCATCTCTCCTATGCCCCAGCTCAGTCCCTTTACACTGATTCCACCATTGGCCTTTGCCTAAGGTGTATGCCCCATTTGAATGCTTGCCTTCCAATGCTGACTCAAAACTGGTAATTGGACCCTCTGCAAAGTTCCAAGACCACCGAGATGCTCAGTGGACAGTGATCCCTTTCTCTCTCTCCTCTCCAAGAAACCTCTTTCAATAAACCTCACCCCATCCCTATCTGCTCTTCTAGTGTATTCATTTTCAATCAGTACTCAGACACTTTTAACAGTGGTCACTTGCTAATAGGTGGTTTTAAATCTATTCTCCTCCCAAGCAGTGCTTGTATGCTAAGAGCTCTCAGACCTCTGAAGAAGTTAGCTTATTGTGTATTTTTTGTACACCTTCATATGCACTCTTACCTCATTCTCCCAGGGCCAGGGCCGTGTTAAGCTTGCCACTTAGGAGTTCTGCATGGACACTGGGATTGGGCATTTGGCAAGGTCGTGTTAAGAGGGCTATGACAACTCCTTCTGCTCCCCCTCTCCCCACCTCCCACTTGAAAGACTTGGCCCAGCAACGTCCTGACTACCCTTCGGTATTGGTATTGGGAGAGGGTCCGAGGGGGGTTGAGGCCATTGGCCAGTGGGACAAGACCAGAAAGAAGTTCCTGAGAGGAGCTCTGACCCCATTCCTGGCGCGGCACTTCTGCCCAGCTCCACCCACTAGGAGTCAGGGCCCCGCCCCTGCCCCGTTGGGTCCGGGAGAGGTTGCCCCCGCCCCGCGAACCCCGCCCCGCCGCCGCGCGCGGCTTCTTTCAGCACCGCGGCGCGGACAGCTCCGGGGCGGGAGCAGAGGGAGCGAGGTGCGGCCGCGGCTGGCCTGGGAGGGCGGTGCAGGGAAGCGGAGCATAGACGCAGGCGGGCAGGCGGGGCACGGAGCCCCGCGGCCCTCCCCGGAGGAGAGCCCCCCCGGAGCCGGACGCCGCTGAGCCCGAGGACAGACAGAGGCGCAGGGAGCCGAGGAGAGGCCGCGGCCAAAAGATGCCTGTCCGCAGGGGCCACGTCGCGCCCCAAAACACGTACCTGGACACGATCATCCGCAAGTTCGAGGGCCAGAGTGAGTCTGTGCGTTGAGGTGGGGGGAACGATCCGAAGTCTTGGCTCGGTGGCAGGAGTGGCGGGACCCCTTTGCTTACTTTGAATGGAGTGAGGGGGGAGAGGTGGTACTGATGCTGAATGCTTTAATGTCCCCAGACTTTCCGTTCCAGCGATCTCCACTTGCTTCAATGCCACTCTCTCTCTCGAAGCAGGAGGGGCAGACTGCAGTCCCACTCTCCTGCCCTGAGTTGATTTCTTGGTACCCCAAGTGCTGGCTTTCCCTTCTATCCCCTCCGCTTCCTCCTCTGAACACCCCCGCACACTTCCTCCAGAAGTTTCTTTGACTACCTCCTTTTTGCCTCCTGGCGGTAGTCACCCTAGTCTTTCTAAGAGCTCTCCTCAGACCTGGCCCCATCTGGTCACATCCCTGCTGCTCCTTCCTGACTCCCTGTGCTGACTCCCGGAAGCCTTGGGCCTCTTTCCACCTTCACTGATCCCATTACTGCCCTGGTCTTCCCCATCATCCCCAGGCCTGACTCCTCCTCCCAACTCTTCTGGTCACTGTTCTGATCCCCTATCCTAACCACCCCCCTCATTACTTTCAGGAGTCCTATGACCTTCCCCCCATGACTCTGGCCACCTAGATCTTCCCACCCCCACCAGACCTCACTTCTCCTCTCCCTCGTTCTGATCATTCCTCTGCTCCCCCATCTAGACACCCTCTCACTGCTGCTGAGAATCCTTATGCTCTTTCCCTCCCTGCTGCCCAATCTTGTTTGCCATGGGCTTCCCACACCCCACCCCAGGTCGGAAGTTCCTGATCGCCAATGCTCAGATGGAGAACTGTGCCATCATTTACTGCAATGACGGCTTCTGTGAACTCTTCGGCTACTCCCGAGTGGAGGTGATGCAGCGACCGTGCACCTGCGACTTCCTCACAGGCCCCAATACCCCGCGCAGTGCCATGTCCCGTCTAGCGCAGGCCCTGCTGGGGACCGAGGAGTGCAAGGTGGACATCCTCTACTACCGCAAGGATGGTGAGGCTCCCTTGGGCCACAGGTTCTGCAAGGCAGACTCTATCCTTCTCTTGTCCAGCCAGAGTGGCCAACTGGGAGGGCGCTGACCCAGGGACCAAAGGGTCCAGACGAATCCTGTCTCCTCTCTGTTCCTCAGTTTCCTCATCTGCAGGGGGGAAGTGATGGGCATTGATTTCAACGTTTTCTGAGGTCCTTTTCGGAAGCTGGAGACGAGGCTGACTCACTGACTGGTCCTCACCCCAGGCAGGGCCTCCCGTTCCACCATCCCTCCCCCATGTCCCCAGTCTCCTGGCCGCCCACTCTGTCACTGTCAGCCCCAGCTGTCAGGCAGCTGGAACAAAAATTAACCTTTCCTCATCTCCGTCTGTTCTGGGGATTAGGGGAGGAGTCACCCCCTCAAGGCCTCTGTGGGCAGTCAAGGCTTGGGAGCTGCTGGCTGGGAAACAGGAGTGGACCTGGCTCACTCAGCCCCAGATCCCTAGAGAGTTAGGTCCTGCAGCTTGCCCTGACCCGGAGGCTCATCCCGTTTGGGATGTTACTTCCAGCCCATGTGTATTGCATACAGAACAGAACCATGGGGCAGGGGCTGAGGACAAAGCTCTGCAGGCCTTTAAGACCTTCCCCCTAGGACCTCAGAGACAGCAGGTAGGAAGGAAGGGAGAGATGAGTGGGAACTAGGATCCTGAAATTCCCTTGAAAATCACTTGTATTAATGGCCCCCTCCACCTGGCTCTGAATCAGAATTACCTGGGGTGTGTTTTCCAAAACACACCTTCCCTAGAGAGAGGCTGACTCAGAGGTGTGAGTTGAGGCCAACGCAGGTGCATTCGGGAAAATCTCCCTGGCAGTTCTGATCTTCTGCCAAATTTAGGAACCACTGGCTTAGATAAATCCCTTCATTTCATGGATGACGAAACCAAGGCCCAAGAAAAAGGAGGGAATTGCCCAAGATCCTACTGCTAGGGCCCAACCTTGGGCCAGAACCCAAGTCTCTGCATTTTTTTATTCGAGATATCTGTTCTAACTAATACCAAGAGGGGAGAGAGAACCCCAACTGCCTCTACCCCAACTGTAGGACATCTGGAGAAGGCAGGCATGAGAGCCATCTGAGTACAGATAAAGGGCAGGTCCCTTTGGATTGGGACTGAAGGGTACTGAGAACCTGGGTTCCAAGGGCCTGGGGTGTGTATGGAGCATGAATGTAAGTGTGAACATGAGTGGGCGTGTGTGCGTGTGTGCGTGCATGTTTATGTTTAAGGGTTTCCTGGGTGCTTCATGGGCAGGTTCTGACTGTCCCCCTGGCTGTCTATTGTTGCTACCAACCAAACAGATGCAAGGGTGACTAGGAAGAATCTGGCTTAGTTTGGCAGCACTCACAGGGTTAATGAAGTCAGAATATTTTTAAAAGCTGTGACCTCACCTCCTCACATCATTTCAGGGAGGAGGTGACAGTCAGGGGAGTGAGAAGGGTCCCCAGGGAACAGGATGGGACAGCAGGAAATGGGGTGGGGGGTGGGGGCGGCAGGACAGTAGGTCCTTGTCTTCGATCCCAGAGCTCTAACTGGGTCCCAGAGTGGTACAGGCTGTTCTCAGATCCCTAGGGACGTCAGATCAGGTCTCTTAGGGTCTCTTCAGCACCCTGAATGTTTCTGGGCAGGGGGCAAAGATCAAGACCAGGCATCAGCCCTCTGAGATCAGGACTCAGATCTTCAGAACACTGCTGAGGTCCTCCCACTATCAGAAGAGACCTCAGGACCTAGTCTTAGAAGCTAGCCCTCAGTGAAAATGGAAAATTACCACATACCTGATGCCCCCAAATCCCAGTCTATCCCACCCAACCCTAAGCTCTTCTCTGTCCTGTTACCCAAGCCTTTGACTACCTGGACTTGCCTGAGATTGGCCTGAAACCCAGAAAAGAGAGCTTCTTGGCCTGCATTACCCTAAGGAAAGGATGTGGTACCCAGATAACTTATGTTCACCTTACGGTTCACTCTGACCACATGATTCTTTTTTATCATATTCACATACATCTTTTAGTCCTGCTGACTGGCATCCTAATGGTGATTTCTTCCCTCCTCAAGTCAATATCTCTTCTCAATCCCTCCCCCTGACTCCAGGGAGGTGGAAAAGGGTCCTGAACAGAACTCTAGCTGGTTTATTTATAATCCTCTTTTCCTCTAAAAGGGTAATCCACTGACAGTTCTCCAAGTCAAAATGAAAGGTCTGTGTCCATTTATCTCCACATTATACAGCTGCACGAAATTGGACTCAAAAAAGCCAGGGCACCTGGCAAAAATTACCGCATGAGATAGGGCTCAGAGACCCCCTGAGAACCTGGATCTTCCTCCATCTGCCTTTACTGGGAAAAGTTAGAGCCTAACAGATAAGGAGGAATGGGGATGGTCACGAGACTGGAACTAATGAGAGTCTGGAGGGAGGGATAGAGCACTCACATCTCTCCCACCTCTACCCCTGACCCCCCTGCGCACCTGCCAGAGGAGCCCAGCCCTGCCTGCCTTGTCGGGCCCTCTTCTCTGATGACCCCAAACCAAAGAATTTCTTAATCTCCAAGCCACACTAGAGGATGCCTGGGGTCCTTCAATCCTCAGCTCTGGATGAGGAAGAGAGGGCAAGGGCTAAGGTCAGAGGCCCCAAGTGTTTTCCACATACTTACCCATGAATGCCAGAGGCACCAAGCAGGAGGCCATCCTCCTCGGCCACCCTCTTAGTGGCAGCATTCTGTAGCACCATCTCCTCCTGTAAAGGCTCACTGCAACCCTGCATGGGGTGGGCATAAAGAGATAGGAGTGATAGACAACAAGGAAGCTATGCAGAGCAGGGACAAGAGCTGGGAGGGGGAGGGGGTTGGAACAACGAGAAACTGAAGGAAGAGCAATCCAAGAAGCAGAGAAGAGCAGAGAGAAGGACTGTGAAGCAGGTGCCAGACAAATCTGCTGCCCTTGGTCAGAGAAGAGGTGGGCTCTGGGAGGAGCCCTTGGAAGGGAGAACAAGGCAGAGATGTGGCTTAGCCTCCAGCAATGGGGCCAGAGCACAGGGACACTGCCACTCCTGGGCACAACTAGTGTGACATACTCACCCACTT